TTTCGTTTCCAACTTTGTGTGGAAGTCCTTTCATTAGTGCAATCACTCACTGGTTTTCGGTTGTTGATTTTTGCTGCCATTACTCTAGAGATCACAATTGTTCAGAGGTGCTTTTGAGAACTGACCTGAAATTTATTGTTGTATTCAATATTTCAACGAAACTGTCAACATTTCAACATTATGTGCTCAAACTATAAGCAAAATTCATTCGTTTTGCTCTCATTTATCAGCCAAAATTAACTTCTGTTAACGACATCGATTAATTAAAATTTTTTTCCGTGAAACTTTGATTAATAGTTGACCGAAATCGAATTCGATGTAATTGTTTATTTGTGTAATACGACGACTACTGACTTGGCTGGTTTGTTTGATTTGGAAGTAAACGCAACGAAACAGATAGAGAGCGATAGCTGAACGAAATTCGTTGATGTGAAGTTTACAATTCAATATACTCACCCACAGTTATCTTTGTTCTTTTTCTATCGTACAAAAATTGAACAACTGTTCAATTGTTAAATTGATTAGCATTCAGTTTACAGCTGAATTACTGAACAATTTTACTTGCAGCCGCTCACAAATATCATTGATAAAATGAACTTGGACAGCCATAGAGTTCATGTTGTTTTCATTATCTCACACAATCGCTAGAAATTTTCCGAGAATACGAACACGTTGCAGCCAGCTAGTCAATCAGTCTGACTGGCGATCTTCTCCAGAAAAGACACAGTAGCTAGATACTTTCATCAAATGCAATCACCACAAATCTCTGGTGAACATTATTAATCTGCTCGATGAGAGTCGTCATCATTTCTTATCTGATTCGTCATTTTTTCGCGTGGTCTGGGATAAACATGTGTCCACGAGAGCATATGATTGTTTCTTCGGTTTGCACCGAAGTCTGGCTACAACTGTTCAACAGGAGCTGATCAGCTCTTATAGCCAGGCTTTTGCATTGGCCTAATCAAAATCGCCTCGGTCTACCCCATCTATCGGTGAGAAACTTGTCATCGAGCAGGATTATTTCAACGGCAGTTACGAAATAATTTTGGGAGGAAATTTTTTGGAAATTTAATTGTTTCGTCGTCTAGGTGACGGTATGAAGTGTGTGCATGTGGATTATGTCATGCATCACGTTTGATTAACGCACCTTTTATTTGGACTCAATTGTTTTCTTTTTAACAGTGGATTGCCACAAATTGCATGGTTCGAAAATGTATCATTCCACTGAGCGATACGTTTGAATAATCAATCTATTCATCGTTCAAATTTTGGTACCACTCAAACGATAATAACAATTGATTAGTTGTCATTATTGTAGAATCGCAACAACACACTTCACTCACGTTCACCTCAGTGGGCCCACTCCAAGATGAACGATCCACTTGAGATGAGTACTCACGATGAAAAGTTGTTCTGTTGAACACTTGAATTACCAAGTAGCGCAGCGGCTCTTCCTACGCCTTGTAGTTTGCCTACCTAACACATATGATCCAGTTGAATTGCAAGTGCCAATGTGTGATTTCTTCGGTCCCATTGGTAATTTGCAAAAATTTTGTGTCGCACTCTCACCTGTTAATCATATGGTGCCATGTAACCATTTGGCACACTTTTTAAAACTCCTTAATGTCAATTGGTCAGCATCAATGTTTACGAATTACTTACTGCCTCATATTTGAGTTCCTGCTTTGGTAACAATCACAGGGGTGGCTTGTCGATTCGTTCACACAAATTAAAAATGAGCATTCAAAGACGGTGAAAACTGCTCAGATGTAATCTGTAAATAATATGTGTTGTGCGCTGTTCATCGAAAGCCATTTTATTCGAAAACATTCAATCGTAAAACTTTTTTGGATAGTTGTTATCTGGCTGATTGCATTTCGCGTTGGATCATTTCATTTATATGAATGGTTTTTTTGTGGTGGTGGTGGTGGTGGTGGTGTTTTATGAGAAGATGAATAATCGAATTTGACCGTTTGGTGCCGTCTGGTGGGTGAATCAATTTGAGATGACCATATGAAACGACTGAGCGAGTGATGATGACTGCGAGCGATTCATCGCTTTGTTAAGTATAATATTCTACATGGATATGATTAATGTTATTATTACATGATTTTATTAGATAGTCGCGATAATAATACATAATAAATGGTGAAATGACGCTGCTATTTTTGCGAGAAGATTCATTTCAGGCATAGTATAGAATGAGAGTGTGATAGATGATTTAAGATTCATAAAGATATTTTTTTTGTTGATATCTTGCTTAGAAGGCCTTTCCCATTGCTACCAAAAAAAGGCCGTGTTATCTACGCTTCATCGGTTCGCTCGAATCAGTTATAATATGATTCAGAGAGTCACTAAACCGAACGGAATAATATGCATAAAAAGCTGCAATAAATGGCGATCTATTCCATTCACATCAGACCAACAAGTTATTTATTGGAGGAGGATAAGATTCGATGAAATTGTTGGGAACTTGAATGTCATTGTTGTGTTACATTAAGTGGTTGATCATAAAGGTGCTCTTTGAGTTTTTCGATTCAACGAACGCATCTTTCGGCATTCTTCAGAACAAACCCGGCCATCTGTACTAGTGACTGGAAATTTAAAAAATTTAGCGAAGATTCTCAACTCAACGATGGCTCGGGCTGTTCTCTATCAGTTCGATTTGGAACTTTTTGACCTTACCTCAGCACGGCTCGATGAACCACTCGAACATTAACATCACCAACAAAGAACACTCAAATCAAGTGATTATTTGTTTGTTTGTTTTTTGAGTGAAACGCTTGGTGTTTTTTGATGGCATAAACAAACGGTAAAGTGAACAAGGAGAACTAGAAGTTCAGATTTGTTGAGATTTGTTGTTGGATGCTATAATGTGCCGTCGGGTGCATCATACTGATTTGTAAAGTAATGCTGCTGATCATATAATATTAAAATATTGGCATTGCAGCACTAGCAATGTGATAACCAGAAGAAAGCGCACATACACACATACGATTTTTTTGCTGAATGCATCGAACAATTACAGATTTTATGTGGTAATATCGCACGCAATTGATGGATTATCTAACGCGTATGTTTTTGTGAAGAGAGTAGTGTGTAAGTAAGCTTTCACTGTTCGAATTCACTGTAAAACTGACGAACGGAACGATGTGAATGAATGAACACAGTTTTGGCTAATCTCAACAAAAGATTTTTCAGTGCGTGGTATAATTGAATGCAAGCACTTACTACTATTATATATTGTCAGAGCGATTTGCTGCACAAAANAAAATCGTGTACTACAGCAGTTAGCTACTAGTGTAATTCGTTGAAAAGTTATTTTTTATTTTGTTTCGTGATTTGATTAAAATTCAAACAGCATTGAATCAAAGTAATTGATAAGTGAGATTTCTCTATATTGTTCATTATCATGCATTGGCTTAGATGGTGTATCTCACATTTTGTCATTTGTCTTATATGGCGCTCTAATTATATAAGTATGATTCGGTGAATGAACTGCTGAATCGCTGCAGTGTCATCGCTTGATCGACTTTAATTCCACTGAAGTAATTAGGTAGAAAATTATGATCGGCGGAAGGAAATGAAAATGCAATCGTAAAAGAATAAAAACAAGAGGATTTCATATAATTGGTTTATTCTAAATCATCGGACGCATGAATGGATCTCGATAATGATTGACTTCGGTTTAATTGATCCAATATGTCGCATCTTCATGGATGTTATTATTACACGTTCTGCGTTCTTTTCTTCGTTTATTCTATTGCTGTCATGCTTCTTCAGTTGGAAGCGTTATCCTTCTATCGTTTGTTATTTTGATGCTGTGTGCACATCAAAACTGAGTTCGGTTCAAAATGTCTTTGATGTTATCGAATTATTATTTTCAAATTGACCTCACTCAGCGATTCGAACCAATTCATCCGTTTTTCATCATCTCTTCACCGAAATCAACTCAACAATAATTCTTCATCATTCATAGAGAAGTATCTTCGCATCGTTTCACTTTCGTCTCCTTTTTCTGACGGTCGTTCGTAAAATCAACGGGCAAAATCAACAGTTTTGACTCATAAATTTGTGTATCATTTCTTGTTTTCTCATTATTACACACACTCTTTTGAAGTGTTTTATCCAATCATTTTCCAGTCTTAACGATTTTAAACCGACTGAAAAACGATTCGTTTCAAAGATTTTCTCCCATTCATTGATTGTCTTGTTCGTCCGTCCGGTAATTGCGATTGCTTCAACACCACCGCTCGTTGTTTGATTCTCGTCTGTGCCCAGCCTGATATTCTAAGTTCTGAACTCATATCTGCTCGTATCAGCTATTAGAAGAAGGTAAGATCTTGAACTCATTCATCCGCTGCCAATTGCACAGTTCAGTTAACAGGGCGACGTTTGAGTCTAATATGGAATCGACGAAGAGTGTGAATTAATCTCTTGACAAGAAGAGTCTGTTTAATTTTGCCCAGTTACGCCGACTGATTTGGTCAAGCCATCAAACCTGAAGTCGTCTATATATCCCTTAAGCTAAAATATCTTGAGTGTTTAAGATGATGAACTTGGCAAATACTAGCATCAATTGGACGGTGAGCTAATGATACGGCTCATTGACCTTTCTTGTACCAATGTAAGAATAAAGTATGTGTCTGATTGGAAGTAAATGATATTCTTCCAAAGGAATGTTTGATTTCTTATGACCTTCTGCGAACAGTTTATTCAAGAGTTAATTTGATTACGCGTGTTTTTGTATGATGATTGAATGTCACATAAAACTAACAAAAACTTGCACTATCACCACCACCACTGATTTCCGTTAGGCATCGTCCTTCGCTGAACGTTTCTCAAATCTATCATTCCGGTTCGACGTGCCACTTCACTGACTTGTTCAGGGATTCGTGGCTAATTCTTTGAGAATATGATAGCAAATTTGCACCGAATTTCAGGATGGCGCCAAGGGACGACGGAAGCCTCTACAGAGTACTTGGTGTACCTCGAACGGCGGATGACTCAGCCATTCGAAAGGCGTATGTTACCAATTAAATTCTTCTTGTTTTCAGTCTTATTCATTTGTTTGCTTCATAAGGACCGGATATGTTGATTGATAGTTTCTGAAGTGAAGTAATTTGAGAAATCAATTTTGTTAGTGACGATTATGAATGCAGACGCACAGTTCACTTACTGGTTTGACGTTGTTATTTTTGGTTTGTTGATTTGAAATTCACCGAAGAACGTCGTCATAATTTCAATGAATCATATTTATTTCCATATAATGAATCATTGTTCATAATAATAATAATTCGTTTTCTTCGAATTGTCGTTCTGTGGAGTCGCATTCAAGACAAAGTCGTCGCATTTGATACGCTTATTGAGAAGATCTAATTTGACACTGTGTTTAACGATTGATTTTTTGCTGAGCGGTGAAATTTGCCGTACGGAAGGAGCAAATTTGTTGTGTAGACATTTTCTTGAAAAAGGAGCAATAATTGGTGTTGCCTGATGAATTTCTGAGTGTGTTCACTTTTTGATTTCATCCAATGTATCTTTTCGATGGGAATTCTCAACAGAGCACAGCAATAAATTAGTGATTCACTTAGAGGCGCCATATTGGCGCATCTGTATTGTGTTGTGAATGAACTTTTTGAGAAGCATTGATTCGATGTGAGGATTAGTTTCATTGCGAACAAAAAATGTGCAACTGAATTTGAAAAAATTACGAAATATCTCGAATTCTGAATAATAATCACATTTGAGCAACTGATTTTCCACATGAAATAATTTCAATTGCTGAAATTCATGTGAACATGTAATGAATTGTGTTAGATTTCCAAAACGTTTGAAAATTTGAAAAATTCAAAATTGATTGCGAAATTTCAGTTATCGAAAATTGGCTCTTCAATGGCATCCAGACAAAAACCCAGATAATAAAGAGGATGCTGAAAAGAAGTTCAAACAAATCGCTCAAGCATACGAAGTTTTATCTGACCGTAAGTGATCAATTTTATTTTGTGTTGTACAGTCACGATTATTTCGCACATTTCTGATACTCTCCAGTCGCGTTTACAAGCGATTTCTCAGCTCTTCAATGATGTTTGAATCATTCAATGAGGCAAATGATGAGCCGCCAAACATAATCGTACTCATTTATCATACTGATAAGACGTGTCTTGTCCGAAAAGTCTTTCCACTTGTTCGTTTTGTTGTGGTTATTGGGAATCTTCAGGAAGCCGTTGAACAATATGAAACTATTGCGCGCAAATCTTGTCATTTGATCACAATACAGCTTGTAGCGAATCGTTGTTTAGAGTTGTTTTTTTGTGAAATTTCTTCGAGTGTTTCAATTTTGTGCAATGCTTACTCAATAATTCAACTGGCGCTGTTGACTGTACAGTTTTTGTCGAGCGTTTACTTGCTTGCTTGCTTGCAGTTGTAGGTGAACGTATTGACGTCAAAAAGTAATCAGAAAGAAGTTCGTTTAAGTAGTTTACTTGCTTCTATTTGTATTTGTTTGTGTCTCAGTGTGTGTGTGTCTTGAATCGATTCTAGGTTCTAAACCCCACCTAAAGCATTCCTCTCGACATTCAACAAGAACCATTTCTGAACTTTTTTCCACGTCCTCTTCTTCTCCTTCAACATTTTTAGCATGGTAAATAAAACATTGTCTAGTAGCCATACACAAACAGTAGTTGCATCATGCACATCGTCGTATGTGAATTAGCACTAGAAATCATTTGACGTATGGAAATCTTGTCATAAAATTTTTATGATCCCATGATGTGCGTTCGCGAAGTTTATTTTGTCACCAAACATGATTCCATGAGACAGATGTGACACTTGCAGATACAGTTAAAGTGACAGCTATAGTTAAGTTATAGTTAAAGCGACAGATATATCCATAAGACAAATATAGTTAAAGTGATGTACATGAGAGCCGCGCCCAAGCCATAGTGCAGCAATCCGCAGAAAATGAAGAAATTCAACGAAGTCGTCAAAACTCATCCTAACAAGAAGGAAATCCAAATATTCAGACATTTAATTTCATCATAATCTGTTTTGAAACGACATTTTCAAATGCCGTATTGCATAAATGAATTCACTCACGTAATCCATTGTCATAATCGCCTGTCATTGCGTTGCTACAGTGGCTCTTTGAGACTCTTTTCTATTCTCGATCAGTCATTTCAAAATCGCACTCGATCACCTTGTATACATATGTTCAACATCAACCTAAAATGTAGCAATTAACATTCAATGAAGCACCAGTTAGGGTAACAGGACGTACCATCGCTTATATATCACTAAATTGTTACCATTCGAAATTTTTTCTACACCGATATTTTTTGATGGTCGATCTGATTAGGAGTTTTCGATTTGAAACATCGCATTTACTATAGTTGGAATTTCGGATGGTGCTAGCAGATTCGTGGTGCATTATCGGAAAGGATGTTGGTTAAATCCAATTTTGAATGGATTGGAAAAAGCAAATCCACATAATATCCAAATTGAATTCACATATGCTAATTAGGGATCGAAAATGCATTAATTATCAGTATGAAATCAACAGTCCGATATGATACGTGTATGGATTTCAGCAAAAAAACGAAGCTCCTACGATCGATCCGGCAATGATTTGACGTCACATCATCGAACACGTAAACCATTTAGCGGCTTCCAAAATGATTTCCGTTCACCGTTTGATATATTCAGCGAGTTCTTCGGTGGACGTGATCCGTTCGCTGTGAGTTTTTCGTTTGGGTTTTTTATTCGATTT